CATTTGACCCAGTGATCCCACTTCTAGGAATATATCCCAAGAAACCAGAAACACCAATCAGAAAGGATATATGCACCCTTATGTTCATAGCAGCACAATTTACAATAGTTAAGATTTGGAATCAGCCTAAGTGCCCATCAGCAGATGAGTGGATTAAAAAACTTTGGCACATCTATGGAATGGAATATTATGCCGAAGAAAAAAGGAAGGAACTACTACCGTTTGCAACAGCATGGATGGAGCTGGAGAGCATTATGCTAAGTGAAATAAGTCAGTCAGAGAAAGATAAATATCACATGATCTCAACAAGGGGGTGAGGGTGAGGGCAAGACTGGGGGGATGAGGGGACAATGGGGGGATGAAGACACATTTGTAATACCTTAATAAAAAAAATTAAAAAAATATATATGGATAACTATTTTGTAAGGAGCTATCTATCTATCTATCTATCTATCTATCTATCTATCTATCTATAAAGAGCCAGGGTCCATAATGTCCAAATCGACCTAAGGGACGACCAAATGCCAGGTGGCGCATGCAGCAGGCTCAGGTGGGCGGGGACTGGCGAGTGGGCCGAACTGCTGACCTCTCGGTCCCTCCCCCAACCCACTCCCATGGGTGCCGTGGTGACCCAGCATGACTGCCAAGGGGGCTGTGGTCCCCAGGATGCCATGGCAGGAGGGGGCTGTGGGTTCCGGTCAGCTGGTCTCGTGCAATTGGGGGCGTGACTGGCCTTCAAACCAGACCCTGACAGGAAGGAGGAGGGAGCCCCATTCCTTGCAGAATCGGCCGTTGGATAGCTTGCTGTCAGCAGCCTGCCAGCCAGGAATCCCATTCACCTGCACCCCGGACCTTGGCGATCAGGGAGGCAGAGGCAGTCAGGGGCGACCAGGCAGACAGAGGGGTTAGGGGCAATCAGGCAGGCAGGCAGGCGAGTGGTTAGGAGCCGGCGGTCCCAGATTGCGAGAGGGATGTCCGACTGCTGGTTTAGGCCTGATCCCACAGACATCCCCCAAGGGGTCCCCGATTGGAGAGGGTGCAGGCTGGGCTGAGGGACCCCCCACCCTGGGCCACTAGTGCTTGAATTAAAAAAAATTACAGGTATCTCCAGACATCAAGATGTATTACAAAGCCACTGT